CTTATTCAAATTCATCAAGGCGGCACTGGCACTGTGTAACAAAAGCAACACATAAACACCACGAACTTGACGAGTTAAAACAGTTGTTTTTTCTCGACAAAACCGCCAGGAACATATGACAATTATCCAAATTCACGTATTACTCATTCAATCGGACAACAATCAAGTGAGAGGTATAATTATTCCAGAATTGACTGTCACAGCACCTTAATTTCGAACGTTTAAAGCGGAAAAAGTTACATTTCAACCGACGGACTAGCGAAGGCCGAATAAAATGGTCGTAGCCTACCAGAGAGAGGTACAAATGATTGAATTAAAATGCGACATGTGGTGCTAGTGGCTGTGATGCACAACGAATATGGGGTATGCCCAAATCCGGCCATTGTGCTGCAGGCTAGGCAATTATGTATTGCATAACTAGCTAATCACTTCGTGATTCGAGTATTATAGTATTCATATCAGCTTAAAAATTCAACCTGAACGTAGTGTTTTTTCAAAAAGGTCTTTGAAAGTATAAAGTACTTGAAGTAGCTTTGGAAACATGACTTTTTCTCATTGGAAATAATGTTAAAATTTATTGGGTAACGGATTCACATTTGCAACCAAGGATATTGATCCACAATCAATCATACAAATATAAAAATTTGAATTTTGAAAACCACGGCTGCAGATCATTTCAAGCTAAAACATACTATGATACCTACCACAAACGAAACGCCTATACATTCAATTATAGTCCGATACTATCGCGGGGGTGTCGGATTACCAAAGACTAGCTCTATTTAATTGAATTTGCAGTGTATAAGTTTGGAAATCTAGTTGACCATGAATTTTTATGTAATATTTGAGAAAAGATTCAAAATATGTGATGAAGTCAGGCTTTAGTTTTTACAAAAGAGAAATTTATTTAATATTGAAATCATAACACAACATGAATCGGTTTTACAGGTAACAATGACTAGACTAGACCGATGACTCATACGGCGCAGCGTCGGACTACCGAGCGTATCGGACTGTAAAGTGTCGGACTATCGCGAGTCAACTGTATATAACATTTTCGAAGAACAGTGTTGATTGCCATACTCCACTTAAACGGCTCAAACGATTTTTCATATCCCTAAGTGATAAGGGGTGTTCCACCCCAAACACTTTTTTTATATATTTTGGAAAAACAAATGTGTTTATTTTTTTACTCAATTTTTACCCTTCTATCACTAACTCCCATTTTTTAATAGTCATTTTATTTATTCAAGCTTTAAACCCTGATCATAGATCAGTTATTCCCGGTGTCACTTCTCATTTAGTAAACAACACGGAGTAAGGATGAAAACGAAGCCGGGTTCTTGTCTCTCTCATACAAAAATCCTTCTCTCACTCCCTACACTATTATTGTTTATCTATAAAGCGAAGATACAGTTTGTGATGCCACCGAAGCTGTGAATTATGCAACAGAGTTTTTGAACTCATTGGATTTGCCAGGCATGCCATCACACAATATACAACTGAAGGTTGGATCGCTTCGAAATTTGAATCCACCACGGCTGTGTAACGGCACGCGATTAGTCATTGAATAATCATGAAATACGGTTTCTCTTTATTTTCAGTTGATTTTTCGTCTGCTAATACCTCTTTGTGTATTATGTAGAGTTGAATAAGTTGAAAAATGACTTCTCTGAACTGAACGGATAAATGTGGTCTACGGTTAAACGTTAAAAGCACATTAAATGGCAAGACCTCGTTAATCTTCAGCTCGCACAAGTTTATTTTTTGAGGGTTGCCTTTAGTAAGAGGGCGACAGCTAATGCTTGGAAAAACATACTTTTCTTCATCAGATTTTAGCCTGCTATTGATATTCCATTATCAGTACTCCTGTAGATAATTTTGTTGTATACAATAAACTTATCCACAATCCTAAACAAACGTTTGGCAGAGATGTACATTTTTATTCAACTATTCTTCAATAATGAGCAAATTATATATGCTCTAGTGCTAGTGTATAGAAAAGAGGGTGAATTATTAATAACCTAAAAAAAAATCAAGAACAATTGTATTTGCAGCAAAAATATTCTCTTGATTTTTCGATTATACTGCTGTGATTTGTTTGAAAATGTCGAGTGAACTTGAAAGCACATATTCATGCATAATTGAAACCTCTCGTCATCATTTACTTGAACTGACGTAAATCATAATTTGAATATTCATCTCAACATCTGCTGCATCCCAATTTTCTTTCCATGACAACATTAATTTTAATGATTTCTTCATGTTTTACACCACAGTGAGTCACTGACACTGAGCATTGGACACAATGCTCATCTTTTCGCTACAAAATTTACTGTCTAATTAAGCAAACTGACTCATCTCGATGTATGACGAGAGGACTCGATACTTCCAAAATAGATAGGTATCTGGAAAGTATGTTTCAGGAAAGACGGTTGGTCAATGAATAACTTTACCTTTAGCCACCTAGTTCGCCAGACCTAACATTGCTGGATTATTTTCTGATGAGCTAATTCAATAACCAAGCTACGTTTGTTGTTGATTATTTATAGTTATCACAACATTGTTTTCGTGAAGGTATGAAAAAATTGAACGTTTTTGATTTGAAATAAAAAAAATCATTCTCGAAATCTCAAAAATGTGTTAAATTTGGTAAAACAAGTTTTAAAGATATTGAGATATTAAATACAAAAGATCAGTATATCATAAGTGCTTTCAGGACTAAATTGTCAATTCGGTATATCTCTGAAAATACTTTAAACGCGGTAGCACTTGTGATCAAGCATACTCAAGAAAAAAGGGTCAATTAAACTCAAATTATTAGCGATAAATTAAAAATTAACTTTTTACAAGTTGTCAGGAAGTTGGTTAATTACTCGTCAGGAAATTTTTATCAGAAAAAATGAACTTAATCTGAAACAGGAGACGTGAATGAATGAAATATTCATAAATATGCAGAAAACTTGATTGATCCGACTGCTATCAACATTACTTTCAATTATATCGATTTCAAATATAATTGCAAACGATATTACAGAACAAATTATTGTTTTTATGGAACAGTACACAGACTTGTAAAAAATTACAGCTTTTTTTCTAACCTAATAGACATTCTTATGTTGTCTCTCTCTCTCTCTCTCTCTCACTCCCTCTGAAAGGAAATATTTTTTGTCATATGTTTTGCTCCTTTTTCTCATTCTTCTTTTAATTTATATTCCTACTGTAAAGAATACTCTTTTCATTCCTGAAATATATTTTCGTATTGGTAGGTTATTCATTAACGAAATAAGAATTCGCACTTACAGCATAAAGAGCAGATGAAACAATTTTCAGTTTTCGTCCACAAACTTAATTCTCTTGAGTAATGGCCACATTCTTCGCCAGTTGAATAAAATACTATTTTAACGTAACATTTAAAAATGAAACTGAACTAACAATGAAAAATTACAGTTCTTTTTTCATGCGAGAATTGAACAGAAGCACCTGATTAATACGACCTTTTATTTATGTAAAGGAATCGTACGTTGAAAGAGTAGATCTCGTTAATCCTTAGCTCGCACAAGATGTCGTTCATTTTTCAGCGACAATCCACATGTAATAGGTTTTTCAATCAATAAATTGTTAACAATAGGCAAAAACCTCAGTCATTTCTGAGAATTTAGTGCCTATTTTGGAATTGCATAGAACCAGGTCATTTGTAGTTGTTGTTGTTTATTTTATATGTTTCTTGTCTCTTGTTGTATTCCTTCCTAATTTAAATATCTGATACTGACTGACACTAATAATAAAATTAGAGTACTTCGAAACTTAATCAAAAAGTGGTTTTGAAATTGTGACAATTTTTTTTTGGTATCCAAAATTATGTTTTCAGTTTTGTGCTACTCCATCCTTCACAACTGAACATAACTTCACATGTTCCCGAAATTCAAATTGCGGGATAAAAACGAACTCTGTCCAATAACCGCATCAATTTTTTGCGATATTTCAAAGGCGTTTGATTGCGTCAATCATAAAACTTTATTAAAAAAACTTAATAAATATGGATGTAGAGGTGTAAGGAATACTTGGTTCGAATCGTACCTTTCAGGTCGGAGTCAAATGGTGAGGACAACGGAACTCTCGGAGAACAGGGCCATTGAATCTGGTGAACCACATGGTTCTGTGTTAGGCCCTATTCTGTTTCTGCTATATATGAATGACATGTCTAGGATTAAAATATCTGGTAGCATATCTGATAATAGGCTGAAATTTGATGAACACCTTAAACAACTGAAGAGTAACATCTCCACCGGATGTTATGCAATTAGAGTGGTTTCAAATGAGTTGGGTTTTCATGTTGCAAATACCGTTTACCATGCACTAATTGAATCTTAACTACGTTATGGAATACTTTTTTGGGGAGCATGCAACTCATCCCTTCTCTCTTCTGTATTGATATTACTAAGGGCACTAAGTAGTCTCTGTAAAGTCAAACCCAGAGAATCGTGCAGGAATTCGTTCACTGCTAATAAAATGTTAACAGTCATCGCACTTTTTATCAACTTTGCTTCTACTCCTTATGCTACTCGTAATAGCAATTATACCTTTAGACTTCCCATCCCAACTTCGAATTTAATCAAGGATTCCATATGCTACAATGGTGGTAAATTTTTCAATCATTTACTGATAGAAATGAGATCTGCAAATTTAAGCAACATTCATTTCAAAAAGGCGGTGAAGAACCTACTTGTTGATAGACCCTATTATAGTTTGCAAGAGTATTTTAGCGAATCCTTTTTTTCATTCATTCATACATTTTTGGAACTTTTTTATATCTACATTTATACTTTTTTAGTACTTTTTCTATATTAACATTGTATTTCTTGGACTTTCGTCAATAAGATGCAAATCAAATTTTGATTTGATTTGATTTGAACAGCGATTTGATCCTAATGAATCTTTTTTCTTTCCACAACCGAAGTGTCAAAAATGGTAATACAATAAATGATATTCAGACTCACCTTTTCCTCATCTACTTCTCCATACAAATGAGGCACCCATCCTTGGATAAACTTAAACAGCTCATCGACTCTGTTCTTCGGCACGCTGAACCAGTACTCAGGCCGCATCTTCTTCTTTCCGTACGACATCAACGGAGTAGATCTAGGTATCGGCTTGTTCAATGGCTTACCCATTCTCAATCGGAGGTACAACGGAGGATCGTCGCACGATCTTGCTGGCCTCGGAATCAATTCTGGAAAGAAACAATGAGGATCAGAAAACTAAGTTATTCTTGGAGATTCGACAATATGTACAAAAATGCGCCAGAAATACCTGAGATCTGAGGTGTTTGTTACAGCATTGCGCTACGAAAGACAACTCTCAGAATTCACACCTTGCTAGCTAAGGATTAACGGGGTCTTATCTTTTAGCGTGCCATTCCTAACACATTTTGAATAATAATTAATCAACGACAAAAAAATGTGTCTGAAATTACAGATATGAGTACTATTTATATTGCCGAGAACCTATTAAGAAGAGGTTTTTTATTTATTTGTGAACAAGTATAAGGGCATAACGTATTTTCGGACGAGAGGAAAAATTTGAAACAAACCAAGCAAACATATTTCGCCTTCTCATCTCTGTTTCCCTAAGTCAATCAGAAATTGCAATATGAAATAGTATTCTAGACGTAAAATCTGAATACAGGAAAATACTAGTAAGTTCAGTGACGTAGACATTCCACTTCAGCTCAAGATGATGAATACATTTGAAATTGTCTTTACAATTAAGGTTCGAAAACTCCTACCTCCATTAGAAGGTCATGTCAGGTAAAGTTGCTATCAGTAATTGGTCAAATTCATTTCTGAAAGCAAATTTTCATAAAGTCTCATGACTTGTGACTTATGATCTAAACCTGGTGTTAGGAATACACCCCAAGTGAGAAAATTTAATATACATTGAAAATGCATTGGCAATTTGTGTGATTGGTCAAACTTTTATGACACTTCCTTACGAGTTTTGTGATGAATATTTCCAATATTATTCCAATTTTATTTTGGAATTGACATAAGTGGACTATAAAATTATTTTATCTTTTTTGCCAATTTTTGTTTATGCTAAATAAAAAACTGTAACAAATTGTTCTCTTTGTGATTTCTGGCGCAATGAAGAAAAGCAGTTCATATGAGATTGGTTCTGATTGAATTATCTTTCTGAAATTTCGTCAAAACATTAAAAAAGATAAAATAGATGTACGTTTACTTTGAATCCATTACCAATAATACAACAGAAATATTCTACATCAACAATTGGAACCAAACTTGCAAAAATAAAAGAAACAAATCACAAAAGTGGAGCGGTGGTTGTTTCAGTGTATGTGGAGATGTAAAAAAGTGTAATGAGTGAAATAATGCAGTGCGTGACATGCAGAACCTACCAAAAAAATCTAGCCCACGATATGGGGAACGTACTGCAGCAATTGAACAGAAAAAAAGGAATGTACTAATAACATAGCTACATCAACTAATGCTGTGTTTGTCGAATAAATGTTATCACGTTTTTCACAAAAAACGATTTTTGAAATGTGGGCGTTATATTTCAATTCAAATTTGTCTATGAACGGTGGTACTCATAATAATGAAAAATGTTTACTAATTGAACAACATTTGAATAGTGAGTAAATGAACATTTTGGTTGGATGAAACATATTAAAAATACCATATATTGATTAGGTTTTCCAAAACTTTATTATTTTAAAATTGGTCGTTATGAACGCTTTCAAAATGATAAGACACAATGTCAATAAGACTGAAAACAAAATATTGCCCTCAATCTAAATAATGATTATGAATCTTCTGGAATTTTGGAGCCTTGAGTAATTGGAAAAACTTTTAATTCCAGTTTTTTTTGAGAAAAAGTTATTAATAAAATTTGATTAGACGTGGTTTTTTAATCAAGATCAGCCAATTACGTTTTTTTTTGGAACTTTTGTTTTACTGCATTTTTCCAAGGAGTCAATTTTTGTTTTCCATATAAAATTTCTGAATCTAATAGTAGTCTATAAGCGTACCTACACTAATCATAGTAGTTTATTCATATTCAAAAGTTTGGAGAAATACTTTAAACCCGTTTCAGTGTTTTTTTTGGGACGATAATACTGCTGGGCTTGCACCAAAGTGAAGCAGTGGACGGGAACAACTTTAATGGTCATTTGATATACTGTATTCTGGAAATTTATTTGCTAAGTTGTTTATATTGATCAGTACACTGCACAAAAATTTTTATAAAAGGACTTAATCTTCATTCAAATTCAACTTACGGAAAAATCTATTACATATCACTTATAATTTTTTCTATCTTAGAAAATCGATATGAAACATTATTTCTCCTGGCTATCCTAATAAAAAAATCCAGTTCTTTGGACATATATTGAGTTTAGAGTAGTTTTGATTTGAAAAGTAGTTGTTTTCCGCCAGGCAGCTGTAAATTTTGTGTAAAAGCTATTTTCCAGGTTTGTTGGTCTTAGCCTGACGTTTCATCTACGACAACGGTTTACATTATCAAAGGCTCTGAGGTAACAGACAAAGTGTTCTTATTGCATAGAGAGCAGGTACTACGGAGTTGGTTAGAGCCTCCTGTCTAATTTTCCATCAGTGATAGGCTTGTCTTCTTTCCTATTTGTTGAATTAGATGACCTGATACGAGAGCTATCAAATGCATGTGAACTGAATTTATTAGTGTTAATTCCCTCCTTTTTTCTGTTGGAATTATTTCTGTGTTCCTTAATTTTTACTGTCTCCTTATATAGCCTCGGATAGTAACTATGAGTTCTATTCAGGGCTTGAGCCACTTAAATCCAGTTGCACTACTGCTGATTTTTCGCTCAGGAGACAATTTCTCTTATGTTCGAGGAGCTGTGTACTTATACACTTCTCTTCATTGTTCCAATGTGAATTCCTGGTGTTGCCAAAGGACCACTGGGGTTTTTATCTGATCTTGAATTCCCCAACGATTTTCGTTCAAGGTCAGCTAATGACTCCACAGGGCACTCAAAAACATACAGGGTATGCCGAAACCCTTGTAACCGACCTTCAGTCTCTATTGGAACCACGAAGAGAAATATACGTACCCGTTCTCTGAACATAACATAAATTGTCACCTTGTGCGACAAATTAGCAGTAGCAGAACATGCACTTAGAAACACAGGAACAAACACACAAACAGTTAATCACCATTAATAAAATCTGGCTACCTTCACTTAATTGGCCTCATATCAGGAACGGAGCTACACCTATCACTAATGGAATTAATCAGGAGATTCAAATCAATTCTCTAGTATCTGCTTTGAGGACGACCACATTTCGACATTTCGACTTTTGCCTCATTTGACATTTGTTGATAATGTCTATCACAGCCGTAGACGGAACGTCAGACATAAAAACCTGCATGTCACGGCCAACAAAGATAGTATTATGTATTAGCTAGAGGAGGTTATTTTTTTGAATTTCATTTCAATAATATTTTTGGATATTGAACAGAGAAGATTTGTCATGAAATTGAACTAAAGATTGTTTGAAGTGTTTAATTATGAATTATTCTCGTTTATGATCACATATGACTACTAACCCTAAAGTCCTAAAATGTATGCGGTTATTACTTACTGTCGAAAGAGACAAATAATTCAGGCATATCCTCAACAGAAACCATTGATCTGTAGTCCAATTTTGGCGGGGGTACTTTAGTTTTCGAACCTTCTGTCGGTTGTCTGATGAATGTCCCCACAGACGAACGCCTGAAAAAGATATCAAATCGATCAAAACCTGGAAATATTGAGGAATTCCGCCGAAGGGGTCTATTACAGTTGAAAAATTATGAACGTAGGAGCATACTGCGGTTTTGGCAAACTATATCTAGAAAAGCGATAATGTTGTGTTTATCAATGGTGTTTTGTGTGTGTATGGTGTAGATTTGAGTAATAATGGGGTCTCTGAAAACACATTTTTATATGGCGTTGCAAGATTCATTCATAACCATCAAGAACTTATGAAATGCTAATGCAATCATGTAACATTTTGTTTTTTCACAACCCGTTTCAATTATGAATACGAACCATTATTTTTCTTTCATAATGACTAGCCATGTATATTAGATATAAATTGAAGAAAAAGGAAAAAGAAAGGTGTGGTGAAAGGAGGCAGTAGTTGAGATAATGGGAGGAGAAGGAAGGGAAAACGGAAGCAAAGAATGAGAAAACCACAAAGAAGAGGACCGAATTTGAGGAAAGAAATATGAGTAGAGGAAAACAGGAAGAATCAACTGAAAGGAAAAATATTGATATTCGACAGCACAGCAAAATGAAGCTAACCATCCACAAAGTTAATACAAAATGAATCGAGAAATATTTATTTTTTTGATATATTCGAAATTTCATTTTTCAAACTGGCCAACTAGAAATTATATCTGAGCAATCTACAATCGCACTGATAATATTAGGATTATCGTTTTCACTCTGGAGCAAACTTGTAAACAGATGTCTTGAGAGGAAGCCACAACTCTAATATTCACAAAGAAATTCGAATAATTACAAAAATGGAATTCAGATTCTTGATAAAAGTGCAGAAAATCCAGATTCTTGAAAAAGATACAGAAAGAAAAGGCCAAAGACGAAATAAGAAGAAGAAGAATTATGAAGTACAATTATTGATTTACCATATGTAGGTATATAAGTACCGGAAATGTTTAATAAATATTATTGTTATCATAATTATTAGACCAGATATGGTAAAAATAAATAATCAAGAAAACAGGTCATAGCTAAATGTCAAATCGAAAATATCACCTTGAAAACATATCAAATAAGTTAGTAGAGATAATATGAAATAAATGTTCTTGCGGTCACAATTCATAATATTTTATCTGTTAGCACTGTATAAATATTTTGTTATATACAGGCCGCAATACAACATACTAATAGAATTGTGGGAATATTCTTATCCTCTCCAATGTCTTTGTTTTATTCTATATTCCATATAATGCATATCCTTCACTTCCGAGCTAAATGTTAAATTAATTATTTCAGAGACCCCATCAGTTCACAACAGGTCGTGCAATAGCCACCAAAACACACACATACCCCACAGCCCCCACCGATGCGCCAACCTGTGCCCCCATGGCGCCCACTGTAGCTCCCATCGCCCCGACGGAAGCTCCGACCTGCGCCCCCATCGCTCCCACTTGAGCCCCCACTTGCGTACCGATGGCGCCGACGGAGGCTCCCATGGCGCCCACCGATGCCCCGACTTGCGCCCCCATAGCCCCCACGGACGCCCCCATAGAACTAATGATGTTAGTCGGGAAAAAACTACTGCCCGTCGACGCTGACGAACAGTCGGTGCGGGGAGAATCGGTCAGTGGTGGACCGCTGCTACCCCCGGAATGGGGACCTCCTGATCCAGAACCGCTGTCTTCGGAAGGTGTCTTGTGGAAAAGGCCGGTGCCAAAGTCCACCAGGTGAATTGGCGAGCTGAGCAAGCGTTAGTGGCAAATTGTTAGATGGTTAAATGCTGCTTCTGTTGCGTAATCAATTCAGTAGCATGACTTATTGACACGTGGGACCTTACATTCATGCATAAAATTCCATATTCATTCATCGCTAATCTAAGCAGCATATTTGAACAGTAAAACACTATATGGAGAGAGTAAGCATTTTTGTTCTTTTTGTTATGGTTTCAATAAATTGAGCTGGAGTTTTATCAAAGGGAACTCTATCAACATCAGCTATGCAAATTCTATGCTGCTGTAAGAGTTTTCATTGACAGAAAATATGGTCATTCTGAAGGAATTAATATTTCCTTTACAAGTCTACCTTAATAAATCGCAATTTATGATCGAACGTGAAAATATATCGATCTACTATTGAAAACTATAGAAAAAAAATTAAAATCAGATATAATTATGAAAACTAAACCAAGTACCCAGTGTGTCAATAAATTATGCACCAAGTTTATAAGGATTAACCTTGAATGTACTACTTACTATTGATGATCATCGAACTTACCTTGAGAATACCTTGGAGAACATCGAAGAGTGTTGAACATCTGCGGCTGAATGAGGATGACTAGGAGGTTTATCTTCATCTTTGTCCCCTCCGAGAGTGGTTTCAACCCATGACAAGGGGTAGGACAGTCTTTTTAACATCTAAAAAATGAATAGATTTCATAAATTAAAATTTTCTTCGGTGTTTCCTATCTTTTCACATCAATATTGTAGGGTAACTAAACTGAACAGAAACAGAGCTTATGACGCACTGTTTGGAACTTTTGATGAAATAATGAATATTACCAATAATATTGACAAACAGAGCTGTTATCAGGAATTGTGTCAACATTCTAGAAAAACTCGGGATCCTTCGATTTTTTATCAGAGGCAACATTTTTTCCGGTATTTGTGAGTCTATCACTTGCATCCCCCAAGTGGAGTTAAGAATAACTTTGCGAGTAACTTCACAAAAAGAAATAAAGAGGTGACAAATCTGGCGACAGTGATGCTTCTCCTCATTATGCATAGAACATTCACCAAATATTAGCAACAACAATATCGATGGCCCTGAATTGGGAGAAGAAGCAGCATTGAAAGGCCTCGTAATGTTGACCCAGTTCCTGATAACGGATCATCAGTTGAAAATTCATTTTGGTTTGCCAATTATCCAAACCGATAGACAGTCAGCTGTGGTTCACTAGATCACCTGACATGCAGCCTTCAGATTTTTGAGAGGATATATAGAATCTAAAATGTACGTTACGTATCTTCATACGTTTAATTTAAGAATCTTCAGTATTCTGTTCAATCACAAATGATTGCTAGATATTTTTATTCAAATGGCTCGGTTAGTAATGTCAATTCGGATTACTGATTTCCTTAGAATTCCATACTATACAATTCTTTCAATACCCTTGTACGCAATGCTGAAAAATTTAATAATTTTCTAGAATATTTTCATTTAATATGTCTCCTGGGAGACAAGTTGTGTAAGTAACAAACTCAACAATAGCTAAATGTTTATTCAACAAATATGCACACAATTCATTAACATTTTTATCTCGTTATCGGTGAGCGATTTTTTTCTGGCTCATGACGTTCATTGTGTTGAAAACATTTATCGCATTTGACATTTTCTAAATCTAGGTACGACTTGAATATTGAGACAATCAGAAAAATGAATAATCAACATATAATTACTGTTAAAAAAATCTGATTTTAGATAATTACTACCATTATAAATCTCCTAAATCAAAAATAATGTACCTTATTTTTTCTACTATCAGCCTTTTCTATTTCCTCTTTTAATTCCATACTGCTGGTGGAAAGTGCAGGTAATCCAGTGTCTTCCGAACTGGAATCCAAACTGAAAGACACAGAATTGGTTTTCTTCCTTCCAGGACTTTCCGTTTCGGTGGTAATACCAATGGTGGTTGGGGCAATAGTAATGGGTGGCACCCAATCCTTAGATAGGACGATATCTGCATCGCTGTATTTCTGTAAAATATAATCAAGGTGAATATAATTTAAAATAAATATTACGAAACTCATAAACTTTGTTACAGAATGAGATATTCAACCACTGGAAATGATTATCTTAAAGTTCCCTATTGAGGTAATGAAACTTCAATTATGTTTGTGCTCCAAGTTGTTTTTGTATGAAACTAACATTCCAGATACGGCAATAGTTTTCAGAAGTTATATCGATGAATAAGATTGCAAACAATTTCTTTTTACTTTTTACCTTTTTCTGTTGAATTGGTAAAATGGGTGGCAGACTAGTTTCTCTAATATCAATCCCAGAATCATGACAGCTTTCTTTATTCAAGCTATTCTCTTCTTCATCTACGTGTTCTTCTTGAAGAATAGCCGATGAAATTGCTGGTAGTTCATCTGTGTCTATAGACCTGAATTCGAAAAAAATCACTCAATAACAATTATAAAAAACAGACTACCATCAATTATTTGTATGCCCCTACTCTACTCAATGAAACATTTTATCCACTGAATAACTACTATACTTTTTCAACTTACTGCCTATCTCTCGAAGGTATTGCCCAGTGATGATCCAGCAGGGACTTCCTTCTCTCTTCTAGAGCTTTCTGCTGAGCTTCGGCATCGTCCAAATTCGTCGGGGTGACCAATTCTCTTTCAAAAGCTTTCGGGAAAGCGTCTCCTTCTCGTTCTGTACAGGAACAGACAGACTCAGCGTCATCGCCAGCTACTACAGAGAGGAAAAACACCGATACGTGACTACTACTCACGACATCAAACAGAGTTCTTGGATGCGTTCAAATTCAAAATATTATAATATAGAAACGATTTTATTTCAATTCATATCCTAAGAAAATTCTGAAGGAACATCAATTGAACAAAAATTAAATGAAACAACAATGTGAACTGAGGAAATGAATTGAAAACTCAAATCATAAACAATATCTCTTTTGCAATTTAGGAAAGCAGGTTAATATGGCATGTTGCAATCAAGTGAAATGGATATTGAAGATTTCAATGGTAGTCTTGTAACTGATAGTACCATTAGAGTACTGTCATCATGTGATTTAGGTGTCATTCTATTGAACTACATAAATAATTCTTTCTTTGTTATTCTTTTTACTTTCAATACTGTTTTTGAAAAAGCAGAATATTACTTAATTACTCAAAATACTGAAGCAACCAATTAATCTTATCTACTGAGACATTTTCAATAAACTGACCGCCAAGACACAACTATCAAACTGATTTGATTTCCAATAAACTAGTGAAGAAACGCTTTTCTCGTTAATAGACAGGTCAAATAGACAGGTTTGACATTGGAACAAATATCCAACTATCAAAGGAAAAAATGGTTTTTGTTTAATTTTTTTCTTATAGGAATCAAAATTGGTGAACCACGGGCCCCACGTTGGGCGCCAATTTGTATAGTTACAACTCTTATAGTTTAGGTTAACCAGGATATAGTGAGGAAGAATAACTTTAAGGAAGCTGTGAATCAAATTACCGCGTTGAGTGGATGATTGAATTTATGTGAAGTGTGAAAAAGTTTCATTCAATAACAGTGACTGGTTGAACCGAACACAGAAAAATACTGAATTTGTGTTCTACATTCAAATGCAACACAGATGAACGCACCCTGAAGTCATGCATACGTGTACAAAACTCACCCAATTCCGGAAAAGTTTCGTCCTTCACCATCAGAGAATCTTGGTCGGTCTCCTTCTCCGATTTGGGGTAGTAAATCTCCGGTTTCTCCCCCGTGCTGGTTTCCATGTGGCCTACCCTCATGTGGGCGATATCGTTGTATATGGCTGCGTTGACGACGAACTCCATGGGGGCGATGACGCCGTAAGCTTCAGGTCCGTGCTCGATGACCAGAGGGTCGGATACGTTCGGGTCGAACATGACCGCGTTGGGAGTGACGAGGAGCACACCGCCCACAACCCCTTGGCCATCCGTGATGTGACGGACGTTGATCTTGAGGAAACGTTCGCGAAACACGAACGACTCCGAGTCTTCATGTTCGGTGCTGCCACCTTGCGTATATGAAGGTGTTCGAACGCGTTCCACGTGACCTGGTTTTGGACTGACGGGACGCAGGTTTTCAAGCAGTTCTGAAACGAAGCCCGTTACGGTCGAAATTAGATACATCGTTTACAATAATTCAGTTCTTCTGATGCACTGTTTGGAACCTTTGGTGTAAAAATGAATAGTACTGGAGTTCTATCCCAACACCAAACCGTTATTTTCAACACCTTGACACGTGAAATACGTGTCTAGGTGTTAAAANTCGACACTTGAAACACGTGTCTAGGTGTTAAAAATAACGGTTTGGGGTTTTGATACAACTCTAGTAATATTCAATATTTCAGTTCGGCGGTATTTATGGTACGAGACTCAACTCTAGCGAAACACTACCGAAATCTAGCGATTTGAAAATTCAACTGATTGAATAACGTGGTGCCTGCGTGTATATTAGAAATGAAAATATTATCAATGACCTGTTTCAATGAAATCTTTGAGTGGAAATACTTGAATGAAAAATTGCAAACAAATTATCAGGTTTAGCTAATTTATACCCGATAATGCAATCAAGCGATGATTAATATTTGTCTAAAAATTATCTATATGATGATATTTTATCATTTGCTAAATAGTGATGAGAAGTGATGAAAGTTTTCCAGATAAATACTACGACCAATCAACTTTTACTTCTTCTTTCATTCCTACTCATTGTCAATACTCCGTATTTATTTATAACCTTTATTATGTACAGTTAATGTTAATTTAAGCCTAAATTGAATATTATTCATAAGTCATTATTTTGTTTTGTCAAAATATATTGAGAAGTCATCATTTTTCATTTTTACAAACCCACAGTCAACTACGAAAAAAATTCATCAAAGTCCGAACTACTTCGGGGCTCGATTTTTACAAAGCTTATCTATGAAATTTCCTTTGGTTGTGTTATCAGTATTGCAGCATCGAGCTAGGATCGATGCACGCGATTAAAAATCATATCCAAAAAATCATATCCAATTCTAATTTCATAGGCGATTTGGTCTGCCTGATCATAAATCATAAATAAATTTACTTTCGAAAGTATAATCTTCGTTATTGGGATAGCAAGTTCAACGATAGCTCCTTAGACTTTTGAGGATGATCGTAGAGAAGCAGCAGATTTTTTTGAGTGCACCATATGGTACTAAATATCATCAAATAAATTGCTGCTGGAGATGTTTATGTCAAAATTATTCCGATGCAGTGACTATATGCTTAGTTTCATTATTGATTTCTTCCCAGTTTGAACTCGAATTATTACTTCCTTCATTTCTTGTTTTATGAAAAATTTAAGAGCGGATTGAAATAGTAAATGAATTAGGTGAGATCCTCCTGGAATGCGTCAACCGTAATCCAGCTTTGTTCGACACCACATGTTTCATATTAATGGGTAGGTAAATCTTCACTGAAATGATTGAATTCCCAATATGACACCTTAAATTTATACCCAGGAATTTTGGGTAACCCTTATTATAGCACCATTCTTTTCGGAAACAATAGTTGATTTTTTGCTGGATAATTAAGTAATGCCAAATGCCATCCCGTTTGATCTTCGACTGCAAAATGAGGACGAGTTTCGGCTCCTCCTCATTGCGTAGTACCAGTGCCATAGTGCATGTTCATGGATGGAATGGAGAGATTCTTGAGAAGGGCTACCTAAAAGTCTAAGAGATGCAGTCAACTACTGTATTCAATTTATGGGAAGGAATGACCAGATGTCGCAAGGGAGCAAAAGTGAGCTCGTTCATACCATTATATGAAACTTGATGGTGCTCAGTTGGAACATTTGATGAAGTAAAAATTTTTGTTCGGTTTGACTTTCTAGTTCGAAATCAAATACGAACCCGAAAAAGGTGTTTTTAAGGACAAAACACAAGCAACCGATTGAGACATGGAACAAATTGTTTGTAACAGTTGAAAGGAACTAGCAATGTATGTACACAATGAACTGGTGTGTAGAGGTGACAACCCGGTGTATAAATAGCGCGTTTGAAATAAACCAAATCGTGGAATATTCCACATTTCCATATGGTCGGTGATAAGCGTTCGGCAGTCAAATGCACTATTTGCATAACTACTATAGTTCAATTCGGTTTGTGATCGACGGTATCGCGTTTAATGACTTCAAAATACGGTTGAAATGGAGTCCGGAGAATATTTATTTTTTAATTGTAGCACTAATCTAACCAGTCAAGTAATAACGATAAGAAAACCACAGGACCCTGAACAAATGAAAAACCATTTTATAATCTCTTATCTTTGTCGTAAAGAATTCACGGACAGGGCCGGCCCTGATTCTTTGTCACTACATTTGACATTTGTTCGAACCGAATGACTAACTTTTTGTAATATTTTCGATGAAGTTGATTATTATTTTTATCTTGTTAGTTCAAACAGCCGAAACGTAAGATAACATAAAATAAATAAGTAGAACGGTGTGAAAATAATTATCGCTAATGCATTTCTATATTTATACAGGCTGATATTTGAGGATTTGACAGTTTCAGCTTTTGCACTACAGGTCACTCAAGTTTTGGGAAAAAAACGTTTAATGATAACTTTGGTATGACCCCTGATATCTGCGGCATGTTCTATGAATCAAAAGGCATTTTTGCTGTATTCTCGCCAATGGTGTTTGTGCGGGATTTGAACTGAAACATTTTAAAGGTGAAATAGATACGCCACTGCGTTTTCTTAAGGTAAAAATTATCTGAAATCTTCGTACTGCTTCAAAAATAACCTCAAATAACGACTTCTTGATTATATAATACTCTGTATGAAAAACTCCGACAGTAACGTTTTATAAATATCAATCATATCGGTTCTATCAGAAAATATATATTTTTACTCAACAATATGGACTCTGAAATAGCAAGTCACGTCTTCGATTTACAGTCAAACCCATATCATCATAAAAAACCTATTCATCGTGAGAAAATCGAAAAAAAAAAATTGAATTTCTTACCCTTCTCCTCTGGTGGCAGATCGTCATGTGAATCTTCTACGGGAGTGGATCCTTCAGATTCGTTTTCTGGAATCTCTCGACTGGGAACATATATTTGTTGACCGGGGAATATGTAAGGGGTCGCTAGCCTATTCAATTTGGTTAGCTCTGATGGGGTTGTATCGAATCGGGCTGCTACAGATGTCAGCGTGTCTCTATCTGCGACCTGAAAATTCACACATGACATTTGATATGTCGTTTCCAATGGTGCGTAAATTGGGCTAAATATGTCAAAGGGTACACTGGGACACTTGATGGCCCACAATGATATCTACTACTGCCAAATATTTTCCTTTCGAAGTGAGGGGACTATCGAATATTCATTTGAAGGAGAGGTGAAGCAGAGGCATTCTCTGTTAATCTTCGATTTTCAAGTTCCTTAATTTTCGTGGCCTGATACCTATTAGTTATTTTCGGTTGTAAATAATAGGTAATGTTGTAAATCATACCAGAAAGAAAATAACACCGGCCGCCGCTGGTAGCCATAAACCAGGCGTCACGTGGGCTAAGAGCGCGCGAGTGCACGATGATTCCCCACCAATCGAAAAGCAGGAAGAATAATGCCACCGACTTCGACAGAACTTCGGAGAAATTTGGACATTCGATCACGATATTTAAAGGCTAGCCACGGGGATATCTAGACAGCCAAGTGGACGTTACAGTGCGGTACGCGAAGTGATCTAGTAAGGCGATACACAAATAATAGTTGGAAGTTTAAGTTGAAGTATTTGTGTATTTAAAGTGAAATAAAGTTAAGTTTGATTATTCAGTGTAGTCAATTATTGGTGAATCCACGGAAAAAAAAATAACATTTGGTGTCGGAAGTGAAATAATTGACTGAAAATTTTCTGTTTTATGGTGAAGACAAGGAGTGTCGATTACGACGAGATGGAAAACTGAAATGATTGAATTCCCAATATGACACCTTAAATTTATACCCAGGAATTTTGGGTAACCCTTATTATAGCACCATTCTTTTCGGAAACAATAAAAAGTTTTGTTCGGTTTCACTTTCTAGTTCGAAATCAAATACGAACCCGAAAAAGGTCTTTTTAAGGACAAAACACAAGCGATACAGGAAAATCCTTAAGACCTGTGCGAAAGTAGTAATTCACATTGCATTTTTTTTAACATTGCTTATAGTTTTAATGTCAAAAATATTTACTGGTTGCCAATATAACTAGAAGAAATTTCCAATAAGGTGCCACTTTTATGGGGAGGGGGTAGTTGACAAGACGTTGATTCTTAAGTAGAAATGGGTCCCCCTGAAAACTGAAGTTGACCTGTTTAACGATTTATTTACAACCTCAATATCAAATGATTTATTGAGAGTCGCTAATTTCTACTGGAATGCTCTATATAAGTGAGCTTGAAAGAAAATAGGCTAAACATTCGTTTTGAGGGCGATTTTGAAAAAATGTTTCAGTGTACTTACGTATTTTGATGCGTAGATTACGAATCCGAAAGAAAAAAGCGGCGTTCTCCCTTATTTACAAAGTTACGGCCCTTCAAAGTTCAGAAAAGAGCAACTTTTCAGCCTTTTTTCACAAGATAAACTATTTGAAAACACAAACATTTATACACTAGGTCAACTTTACACCTGATTCCTCCTTGCTTGACACTTTTCACTTCAACAATCAACATTTTTCCAATAAAAATGTTAAAAAATTAACGGAGCTGCTTTTTGGTTATATATCTGTATTTTACGTTTTTGAAGTTAATGGCATAGTTGGTACCACTGATGCTGTCAATATGCCTATATTTAAACATTTTTATTGGAAAAATGTTGATCGTTGAATTAAAAAAGTGTTAATTAAGGAGGAATAACGTGTAAAGGTGACCTAGTGAATAAATGCTTGTGTTTTTAAATAGTTCATCTTGTGGAAAAGAAGGCTGAAAAGTTGCCCTTTTCTGAACTTTGAAGGGCCGTAACTTTGTAAATAAGGGAAAACGTCGGATTCATAATCTACGCATCAAAATACGTAAGTAACCTCGAACATTTTTTCAAAATCGCCGGGTGGCCTCAAAACGAATATTTACCGAAAATAGTTACAAACGAACTGGATAAATTTATTTGCATATCTTTCAAGTCGTGACCAATCCAATCCAATGCAATTTAGTAACACAAATCTTTCATAACATACACGCTAGTAACCACCACTCACTGTACACAAGGTTCATCGTGTCAAGTTGAAAACAAAAGTCAAGACAAAAACATTAATGACGCGGTCACGCTTATAAATAGATGATTTTTCCGAAGTCACTCACTGTAATCGATAAGAGTCAGGACGCGAGAACGCCAAATTATAAACCAACTGCCATAATAATTACCGATGATACCGATTGAGACATGGAACAAATTGTTTGTAACAGTTGAAAGGAACTAGCAATGTATGTACACAATGAACTGGTGTGTAGAGGTGACAACCCGGTGTATAAATAGCGCATTTGAAATAAACCAAATCGTGGAATATTCCACATTTCCATATGGTCGGTGATAAGCGTTCGGCAGTCAAATGCACTATTTGCATAACTACTATAGTTAGTTCAATTCGGTTTGTGATCGACGGTATCGCGTTTAATGACTTCAAAATACGGTTGAAATGGAGTCCGGAGAATATTTATTTTTTAATTGTAGCACTAATCTAACCAGTCAAGTAATAACGATAAGAAAACCACAGGACCCTGAACAAATGAAAAACCATTTTATAATCTCTTATCTTTGTCGTAAAGAATTCACGGACAGGGCCGGCCCTGATTCTTTGTCACTACATTTGACATTTGTTCGAACCGAATGACTAACTTTTTGTAATATTTTCGATGAAGTTGATTATTATTTTTATCTTGTTAGTTCAAACAGCCGAAACGTAAGATAACATAAAATAAATAAGTAGAACGGTGTGAAAATAATTATCGCTAATGCATTTCTATATTTATACAGGCTGATATTTGAGGAATTGACAGTCTCAGCTTTTGCACTAACGCCTGATTGAAGACGCGAGCATCACGTACAACCTTGATAGTCTGGAATAGACTTTAGATAGACTTCATAGATACTTTCACGGGAGGTGTTCAAGTGACTTGGCACATTCGATTCCATCAAGAGCGGTACATATCAGAAATACGCGACGCACTGGGTTCAACTCAGTACACCTCGAACTTCACTCCTTAAGAACTCTTTGATTTGGATAACTGCGTATATGTGGAATAAACTTCCTGAGAAGGTTTTTCCAAATGAATTTAATCTCCAGCGATTCAATTCCAACGTGAATCGCTACTGTCGCACAGGCACCGCTTTTAGAGCGCCTCAAGAATTTTCCTATAGTGCTTGTGTTCTGTCCTTAAAAAAACAGTAACTAGACCAATTCCAATTGTTTTAACACTAAAAGCAGTCGATATTAATTATATTCCAGCACTTTCTCTGAAAGAGAAATTAAAAAATGATTAATTGATCAATATAAACAAATGAGAAATTGGACAAATAATTGAAAAAACAATGGATGTAGCGAATCGATAACGGCCAGTTTTTGTTCACTATAATGAAGGTTTTGTTTAATGTGGTTTCGGATGTTCTAGAGCATTTCCGGTGTAATATTCCAACATTCAGCATTAAAATTACAATTCATCACTTCTACTATCTACGGAAGCTAGCATTAACCGTGTTTGTTTTTTTACGGCACTCATCGAATTCCAAATTGTCAACAAACAATAGAAGTGAAGTGAAAAAAGCATAATATTTACTTTTTGAAAGATTTACTTCACAACATTTTCTCGAAATATCTACTGCTTTGAATCATAAAAAGTCGATAACGTCGCATAGAGAAACCGATGAACTTCCAAATGAGGTATCTCTTCATCCACAATCCTCAATTTAGGATTCAAGGGTTGGATCGCACCCCACCAACGGGTGGAAGTGGTAAGATTGAATATGTGTATATATGTTTTTTCCTCAAAATAAAAATCGACGGCTCCGAACGGTTTTCTTTTGTGAACAGTATTCCACTTTGAAATTTTTCTCCCCAGCCTTCTGCGATTTCCTCCTATCACAGCATGAGATAGTCGATCCTCCCTTCCAATTGTCAACCTTTTTATTTCTCACAACCAAATTACAAAGCATAACGAGAATGCATTTTTTCATGCATTGTTCACAAAATGGAGTTGTGACTATTCCAAAAGCTTTGAAGCTGTTAATGGTATGATGATATGACCCTACTTTGTACCGACGTACAGCAATGACCTCGAAAATGGTCAAACGTCTGAGTTGAAAAAGCCTACTGAAATGTTTTGAGATTGGAGGTACATCTAACTGCTTTCTTTATCCTTGGAAAAACTTGTGAATCAAGGAACAGAATGGAAAAATAGTTTTTTCCTACAGAATGATATGAATAGTATCAATGTTATAAATTATGCAATGAACTTTTCACATAGCTTCAGTGTAACTTGTGGTCAAAAAATTTTCAAGTAGTGTTAAAAGCCGTAGATAACTGTGTCAAAGCTATATTCGTCAACGTTATATTTCGGGTTTGTTGGCACTGGTCCACACGTTTTCAAGACCGAATTCATCTACGACTACGGATGTATTCCATTGATGGTGGGAGAAGATTCGTTTCTATTGGTTCAATTCAATTACCTGATTCGACTGATATTAAGTGCAGGTGGCCAACTTTTATCAATGTTCATTTCCTTTTGAATTTCTATCGACTTCCCATAACGTCTTGGATAGTATATGAGTTCTTTCAATTTGGTCAACCAGCACGCAATCCAAATATTTTTCAGTATATTCAATTACATGGTAGAAAACCTTTTCCATAATTCCATAATTATTCCATGATTCCAATTCGAAATATCGTGATATCAACATGAATGCAAGCATGTTAGGTCAGGCATTTAAGTTATGTTGGGTTGAATAAATAACGTCATGATTCCGAGTTTAAACTTGGAATTACGAGTAAAAAATCGGAATTTCCAGTTCCGAAATGAAATTCGGGATTCAGACAGAAGCACCCAGTTTTGTCTTCAAATGCGTGATCAGGGGACAAAAATACGAGAGTCTAATTACAAATTTTTCAAAAACGAATATTCAGAATACTCATCGTCAAGAAAAATGAAACAGAACCACTTTTGAGTGTCACTTGTAGAGGATTTGAATCACTTTTTCGATGTCTCACTTAATACTGAGATATTCAAACTCAGAAACGTTATATATTAGAAAAACTCATTGTAAATATATCCAAACAACTACTTGCACATTTATAACTCACCGTGTATAGTGTCGTATTTTCCGGCGGTCCAGTTTTCCTCCTTTCCGTCAAACTATTCGTTGACCCATCAAGATCTGGAACGAACGAAAAGCACTCTTTAAAATAAACCAACATACCTCGATCTCGATCAAATACATAGTTATGCACAAAGAATCGAACAGTTACGGTAAACCCAGATAAAAAAAATAACCTTTCAACCATGTTCTGCCATTTTTGTAAATAATAACAGAATCCGAGATATCGTCGATTTTGGTGTAAACGATTACCAGTGACGTCGATAGGCCCACATAAGAACTCATCACTTTTTTTTTGTTATTTTATTAATGGTGTTTGTTGTAATGTCTCGAGACGGAGAAAATCATTATCGAAGCAACTGAAATTAGATGCGGCAGTTGGACATGAGACCTTGACAACTGCTGGATCATGACATTATGCCACAAGATTCATTTCAGACTCAGCGTTTACCCCACCACCCCGCTATATTACCTATCAAATTAATTTGTCGACGAATGTCGAATGAACTCGAAGTAAATGTGACGATAACAAATCGATTGGTAATGAACTTCTTCAGAAATTAAAATACAACGAAGATGTTTGTTCGTGAATTTTATGATTTATAATTCATCTGGATTATAACTGATATTTTTGTATTTCTTCTGCTATCTTTATATTACTGGCTCATATATTATTGGGTTGTTTCAAACGTTTTGTCCGTTTAAATGTCGCGTGTGCCTCTTTTCAGCTTATTACCATATAATGTCGACCAATTTTCGACCAATTTTTCTCTACGAATTCAAATTGAACCAAAGCGCTACCGAAACAGACCAAAAAGTTAACCAGACATTTGGCAATGATAGTGTTAATGAACTCACTGTTCGACGTTGGTTTGAGAAATTTCGTTCCGGAGATTTTAGTCTCGAAGATGAACCCCAAAGTGATCTACCTACTGTAATCCGGAACGAGGATTTGAAGACCCTAATAGAGCCTGACCCATCACTGACGGTGTGTGGGATGGCAGAACTGGGCGTCAGCTCCCATGCGGTTTTTGATGATTTGGAACGTATTGAAAAGGTTAAGAAGATGGAAAATCGAGTAGTCCACAATTTGAACTATCGACACCGATGAGCCACCCAGGCACTTTCCAAAGACGAAAATCCACCGAAAAAAAGACCATAGTTACTGTATGGTGGTCAGCGGCTGGTGTGATTCACTATAACTTTCTGCAACCGGGTCAAACCATCACAGTTGCAACCTATTCAAAGGAAATCGATGAAATGTACCGAAAATTGTGTCAGTAACCATCACAGCAGAGCCTACTGTGAGGAAATCGACGAAATATATCGAAAATTGCGTCAGCAGCAGCCGACACTGGTCAACAGAAGAGGTCCGATCCTCATCCAAGACAATCCCCGTCCGCACGTTTCACAAATCACCGTCCAAAAATGAAACGAATTGAGCGTCGAAGTTATGCCTCACCCACCATACTCCCCAGACCTCTCGCCAACCGACCGTTATCTTTCCAAGCACTTCGATGACTTTTGCCAATTAGAACCCAGCAAAATCGGTCTTCATCGACTTCATCGAATCCCGAGCACTCAATTTTCATGCTGATGAAATAATTCGATTTGTGTTACGTTGGCAGAAGTGCACTTATTCAAATGGGGCTTATTTCGATTGAGTTGAATAAGTCTTCACTGGGATATTACAGTTTAAAGTAGACTCATAAAAACGGACATAACTTTTTCATGGGCATAGAATCTTATTTGATTTTCCATTATTTTTCTGCATCTTCAAATAACGATGTCAATATACTTTTGGGTCGTAGGTATTGTTTCAACGCCACTACGTGTGATGTATGATTTCCATAGTCCTAAAGTAGAATATAAGTTTAACCCTTACGCAGATGTAGGTGATCCACATGCAAATTTCGAGAAAGTGAAAGCAATGACCCAAGTGGGGGGTACTCCGCCAAAAAATCTTCTATGGCCTAGATATTGATTATGATTGGAATATTCCTAACCTAGCCCTATATAAAATAATGGGACAGGAAAATAGAAATCTTTTCATTTTCGTAAAAGGCAAAGGCAATAAATATGTATATGGCTTTTGTTAAATTAGTTTTTTTGACTTATATGCTAGATGGATTCATGGGTTCATGGGACGTTAAAGCTTGTCGCCCACTTGTCCAGCTACAACCCCAGCATACTGAAGGTGCTGGTCAAGGGAATTTTAGTTGACATCGAGCGGTGATAGAAACATGTCTATTACTAGCAGTTCTGACGAGAAGTCGTCATTATAGTAGCCGCATTATTGAATGTAGAAGAAAATAGTCACAAAAAGGAAGGATGTGGGTCCATGCCATTAATTCAAAGAGGGCAAATCTGGAAGAGTTTCATCATCTTCTCAACGACCTGAAAATAGACGAGTAGAAATTTTTCCAGTATTTCCGAATGACTTGAGGCAAATTTTCAGAACTTCTGGATATTCTAGAGCCTGCCTTAACAAGCAACTCAATTTTTCCTTGTCCAATTTCATAGGTACCGTCTGACACCGTGCTGTCAACTGATGGAATAGCAAAACAGAGAGACAGAAACTTCCCGGGCACGTTTGGACAAGTTGATGCTGGCAAGCGCTGGCCGGCGACACGCTCACTTGGCCAGTCCGTCACAGCACGTTCCGTTATTTTCCGGACAGGATCGGAGAGCTGGACTCCTTTCCGGCGGCGGACGCTCTTGGCTGTGCCGTGCCGGGCAAGTGGACGGTTGTCCATTCATTTTCATTGTTCCAATCCTATACGTATTTTAACGAGACGGGCCGTGCTGTGCTGTGACGGTCAAGTGGGCGACAAGCCGCTACCCTAGAATTTGAGTTACAGTTGATCTCATGTTTACGCCCCTTGTACCAACTAAATGATCTCATGTTTACGCCCTTTGACGAAATAAACGACTGTTTCTGATATTGAAAACTAATTTCACGTATGTCATACGGAAATTCATCACCTTTGCGTATACGTAGAGGTCCTAAAATGAAAAATTTTCCTATTTCCTGTCCCATTTTTTTGTACGACGTTTGATTAGGAGAAATCCCAATCGTAAGTTGGAATTCATTCAAGATCTTTCGGCAATAAACCCCCATTTGATTTATTGTTTTCACTAGCATTTAGATAATTTATTGATCGAATGCAAGAAATATGATGTAAACGGTGGCACACAAATCAAGCGAGTCTTCGAATTGATGAAAAGGAGCCAGCAATTTTTTTAAATACGATGTTTCAAAGAAACAAAATGAAGCAGCTGATGATCACAGCAATATCCGAGACAATTTTATTGATCTCCGCATTGTTCTAGATCTCCCAATACTTTGGGGGTAGTCGTCACTCTTATCTCTGGTGAATCTCGAACACTTTTCCAGATCAAAATCACAGTCAACCTTGACAACTTTCAAACCTCGTTTTCGCCCATAATTCACCGTTGATTATTCCGCTTTTTACGATAATCGCCGAACAACCTCGTCCGACTCCTGACAGAACTAGCCCATAACAACCAGGAATGTGATATGTATTTTTATTGCGATCCCAATTAACCTGCATTCGTTAGCCATTTTAAAACACTGACGTTGAATTGGTTGCATTGTTGCTACAACATGACAAACATAAGAAATTTACCTTATTCGGAGCGGTAAATAGATGTGATTCTGGGACAAGAATATCATAAACTTAAAAAAAATGTATTCTTTTTAATAAATATCAACAGTGTTCACAGAGGTTTTTTCTGATATATCATATAGGTACTTTAATTATTTTAAATGTGAAACTCAATTTCAGTAATGTTATTTTCATATGCTGTGGCTACTCATGAGGCTTTAGACTTGTTTTGCAGTAATACCTATGCCTTCTTGCTTTTTTTGAGATAATCTGTGAAAATGAACTTTCATTTTCATGAAGAATATGAAGGAACATATTTCATATCGACAATTTAGTACAACCAAACCTCTAATTATTCGGAAGATATTTTTTTTAGTCGAGCATTTACTCTAAGTGCAAACTTCTCCAAATGTGCTGTAAACTTCCTCATTTAACAAATTCAGTATTTAATTTTTTATTTCTGACCGTTTTTGACAAACCTCACTTATGCCCTCTAGGGATATTTTTACTGAGATATAAGTTACATAACCTTCTTGGCAAATAGTGATTTTTGAAACGCCTAAAAATACGTGGGGTGACAAATTTATTTCTTCATTTCCACAATACACAAATTAGTAGGGACTAACTAGAGTTGATTATTGATATTTTGACAGGTTCAGGTTATTTTACGCAATGAAAATCAAATCATGGATGAAACTATCCATTTTTAAAATACATATTCTATTTATTCAATTCAACATTCATTGCATATTTTTATGCTTTCACTGGATATGTAACGTATCTTAGGTACTCACCAGAATCAATTCTATTGACCAGGAAGAAATAGATTAGCCATCATCGAAGAACAATTGAACAAATTTCTACGGCCTTCACAAAGTTTAATTAGAAATAAAGCCTAGCAAAAAATTCACATTTATCTATACCCCTTCCATTCCAGGTTCATTTTTGTTGATTGAAATAGTACTTGAAAGTCGAAACAACAATGTTACGGAGTACAAACAAAAAATTAAAGTTAGAATTGAAAATACAAGCAAAAAAGTTCAATCTGGGGTGAGGTATCATCCCATCCGGTGCTAGAGAGGTTAGGATGAAGTTGTATTTAAAACTAAGTAATGTGTTGGTTTTATTCAATGAATGGTGACAAGAAAAGTTAGAATTTTGTTCAATAAACGTTTAATGATTTCGAACAAAATCTAAAACTGATGTTGAAAAATATTTATATTTTCAAATGTATTTATTCTCCATTTTGTATGATGTTTCCATAACTTCATCATCTCACCACCACTTTCTGGCTATTCTATACAATGTGAATTGTCGTTTGGAAAGTCAAAGAATGAAACGAACAAATTCATTCATAAATGAGAGCCACAACAAAGGAATCAGGCGAACAGAAAAGCATTTTCACGAGATTTTCGCTCGAAATGAAAGTTGATATGAGAGAAGCCATAAATATATAATGAATTGTAATATATAATAAATTACTTTCAATTCGTCGTTACATATTTACTTGTTAGAAGATTGTTCGCGTTCAGCCTATTCCCAAGAAGGCCAAAAAAATCTTCTAATCAACTACAGACCACTCAGACCAGTCGCTTTGCTATACTCAACATATTTCATTCAAAATGAACTTCTTTTGAATACAGCCAAAACTAATTGTATAGTTTTCAGAACAGTTAATACTTCCATCATTATTCCAGAGTATGTGAACATGGGCCTTGAAAAGTTGAACTTTCCATCATGTACAAAAATGTTAGGGGTCTATCTAGATGACAAATTAA